GTTCTAATTGTCCCAATACTGTCCTAATTGGTCCCGATATTGACCAATTAGTTTACGTAGTTCTCCCAGATCTGCCCCTGCTGGAAACAAACCTTTTTTTTTTTTTACTGCTTCTCATGCATAATACCGTAAAATGCTTACCTGCGACGATATATCGTCCCACCCTATTTTTTTTTTTTTATCCCTTTTTATTCTTGTGCTAACGGTGTTTTAGCTTCCGCCGTCGACCAACTACCATGCTCCCCGGAATGAAACGCATGCTCGTTCTTGCTGTACCTGGGGTGGAACGTGGCCCAGATACTGTTATTATATTGACCGTGCGTTGTATTCGGGTGGAAGAGATGGTAGTCAATGAATCTGTACCTACCGTAGATTGGAAACGATGGTGGGGATACCTTTGCAGACACATCCTCGTCGTTGCACACTGTAGGAAGCGTACCGTCTTCCCCCAAACACAACGCACTCCGACAATCCATGTCTTCAAGCTATCTTTCCGTGTCCTTGCTCTACCTGTCACCCCTTTCTGTTTCCTTTCTTCGTTTTTTTCCCCGTTGGGACTTCTCTATCCGCTATCTCTTCTCGCTTCCCTCGGTTTGCTTCCATTTTCCTTATGATGCCCTTGCGCCCGTGCGCCGTCTGTAGTCCTATTTCCCACGCGGTCTTCGTTTGACGTTTGTCTCGTGTCTCTCTCTCCTATACGCCTTTGTCCGCTGACGGGATCCGGTTTCCTATTCACCTGACCGTTTATCTCCATTTGTCTTCTTTTGGTTGCCTTTTCCTTCTGTCCTGTGCTCTCATCTGTTCTCTTGTCCTCAAGCTCTCTCTCTCTCTCTCTCTTTCTCTCTCTCTCTCTCTCTGTCTCTCTCTCTTTGCCTTCTACCTTTTCTTTTTGCCTCTGCTTCTCTTCTCGGCTTCTGCGATCGCCTATCCGTTTTCCTCTCCTCTCCTTGCTTCTGTGGCCCCCAGGTCTTTCCTTTCATTTGCACCCGTCCTGGCATATCCATTTCTCCTCTCGCATTTTCCTTGCTTCTGTCGTCCCCCCCCCCCCCCTCTTTTCCTCCCTCTCTTGTGTTCTTTTGTCTTCCGTCTCCTTTTTTTTTTTCGGCCATTTCTCTCCTCCCCCGTTTTCGTTTCTGACATCTCTCGTTTTTTCCGTCCCCCCCCCCCCCCCGCCCCGGGGGTTCCTTCTTACCCCCCCCTCGTCCTCTCCTTTCCCCCTTTTCTCTCGTCTGTTTTCTTGTCTCCCTCTCTGCTCTTCCGTGTCCACTCCTCCTACCGTCCTCTTGCGCTGTTCTTTTCTACGTTCCTTCTCTCTTCCTCACCTCGGATCTCCCAATTTCACCTTTCCTCTCTTCTCTCCTCCTCTCCTCTCTGTTTCTCTCCTTCTCTCTCTTACGTTCTTCGCTATTCTCTGCTCTACTGCTCTTCTTTTGTGCTGTTGTCTGTGCTTCCTCTTATCCGTCATTGTCCTGTTGCGTTGTCCCCTGTTTCCTGCATCTTACCTCGTCTCTCCTCCTCTCCTTTCCTCTTCTCCTCTTCTCCTCTCTTCTCCTCTCTTCTCCTCTCTTCTCCTCTCTTCTCCGCTCTTCTCCTCTCTTCTCCTCTCCTCCTGCCCTCCACTCCTCTCCTATTTGTGCTGTTGTCTGTTCTTCGTCTTATCCTCTATTGCCTGTTGCCTTGTCCCTGTTTCCTGCATCTCTCCTCGTCTTCCACCTCTCTTCTCCTCTCCTCCTGTCCTCCTCTCCTCTCGTCTCGCCTCCTCCTTTCCTCTCCCCTATTCTCCTCTACTTGTCTGATGTTGTGTGTGTAGCGCCTTATGTATCATTATTCTGTTGCATTCCCCCCCCCCCCCCCCCCCGCTCTGTTTTCTGCGTCTTACTTCGTATTTGTCTTTTCCAAAATTATTCGGGCATGGTTAATGTAGGGATCGATTGGCATGTGTGCATAACAAAGCCACGAAAGTCTTTAATTTCGCTACATGGGGAGTTGTTGCTCTCTCTCACTCCTGCTCGTCGGAACACTAATTAGGCTTTTGCCGCTGTCAGAGGACTCCCAAGCAATCACGGGAATCGGTCATCAAATGATTACAGCGACGCCGCCTGTTTCTTTTTTTCTGACTTTTCTGGATGATTGCTCTTGGGACGTGTCGCCACCACAGACCTTGCCACTGCCAGTCTTCTCGTATGCGCGTTCTTTTCTTTTTCCTTTCTGCACCTGGCTGTGCAGTATCGGGGGATGGATTTCGGTAAAGCGGTATTACCAATTTCTCTTTCTCCCCTCCCCCCCCCCACACTCTGTGTGTTATATATATATGAGGGTTCAGCCTCCTGATGAGTCGGTGAAACTCCGACGAAACAGTTTGTCACAGCCCCTCGTTTGTTGTCCTCTTCTCTCTCTCTGATTTACCGGGCAGTTCTGTTTGTGACGAGAGAGAGAGAGAGAGAGAGAGAGAGAGAGAGAGAGAGAGAGAGAGAGAGAGAGAGAGAGAGAGAGTCCGTGGTCTTCGTATCCCCCGGCCGGACGTTATTTATTGCTGTTTGTGACAATTTAGAATGTTTCCAAATGGTTGCGCCACATCGAGAAAGAGTCAGTGTGTCGTTTTGTGTGCAACGTAGTCTATAGATCGATCAATTCTGCAAAAATCAACCTACCAATCATTCAAAAATCAACCTACCAATCATTGCTCAATTATTTGATGAAGTTGCTAATTAACTTACCGTCGACCTGCAATTAGCCTGTAATCATCGGAGCAATCAACCTACCAATCATCGGACCAATCAACCGACCAACCCACCCCATCAATGATGCTACCATCGACCTGCAATCAGCCTACAATCAACCTATTAACCAACCGACCAATCATGTGACTAGAGCCCACCTCACCAATGATGCGACTATCGGCCTGCAATCAGCCGACAATCAACCTGCTAACCAACCGACCCGAACCTCCGCGCACGCACCAACCCGAACCGGCGCCCTTGGCCCCAAGAGCCAAGACTCTTTAACACTACATCCATATGACACGATATACAGAAGTGGAACCGTGCCGGCAGTGATATCCAGCCCACCCCTGCATGGCCAAAGTGTCCTTACTCCCTCACACCGCACACAACACCACTCAGGAGTTACCTCCGCCCAGACGCACGCGATCGAATAGTGTACAACAAACTCCGGGCATACTCACACGAGGACTTTTTCACTTGAGGACGTGATTGCGGCCAGATGCATCCAGCTCTGGCCGTAATTGGAGGCAGATGCATTTTGGAAAGTGCTAGTGCGACTATGCCCTTAGACTCGCGATCGAATAGTGTACAACAAACTAATTAGGTAGTCAGATTTTCTCTTCACTAACCAACTGCCGTCTTCCCCCGAACACAACGCACGGTCATTATGGCTGTACCGGGTCATTAAGCTCGTCGACATTCATTATGAGGGTGCGTTATGGCCGGGGGAAGACGATTGGTGGATTGTCAGATTGGGTTTATCGAGTTCATTGATTGGTGGATTGTCAGATTCGACCAGTTGATTGGTGTATTGTAGGGTTGGTCCAATTGATTGATTGGTCCAATTAATTGATTTGTCCAATTGATTGATTGATTGATTGGTTGACCATTGTTGCTGGCCGCTCTCCCGTTAGCGCACATCACGTGACTGCAGAGGGGTGTTCGCCATCGTGATTGTGGACTTTTCGAAATCGACGGGTGTGGGCACGGGAATGCACAAAAGGGCCCCTGGGTACCCCCGTGCTCACGGTGGGTGGACCTCCATTGGGAGAGCAATCAAATGCTGACTTGTCATGTACCTGGTCTGAAAAGAAGATCTGGTTCATGGCAAGTTAGCATGAAGCTATACTTGGACGGCTCCCCTTTTCATGGGGACGAATCAAACGATTTCATGGGGACGAATCAAACGATGACTTGTCATGGACCCGGTCTGAAAACATGTTCAGGTTAGCATGAAGCTACGGTTGGGAAGGAGGTGTCTGACCCTTTTTCTCTGATGATGTGCTGAAGGTCGTACGCCACAATTTGTTGCCATTCCCCCCTTGTTTTCATTAATTTTGTATCTGTTGTCAGTGTGTGTGTGTGTGTGTGTGTGTGTGTGTGTGTGTTTGTGTGCGTGTGCGTGTG